ATGACATTGTAATACTTGAGATATATTCAGATAGGAGTTGGGGAAGTAAAGGTACCGTATGAGTGTTACGAAAATAAAAGAGAGTGCCACTGGGAAACAGTCAGAATTTAAGTTCAGAAGTAACCCTACGAGCACAGAGGCGTGGAGGTAAGTAACTACGAACTACTATAGGCGAGGAAAAACATAAAAAAAACAATTCCATCGAGTATACGATGTGATAGGCTCGCAGCTTTACAAGAGTCAAAGGTTCCTCCCTAAGTACTACAATAAAAAATTAGATAAGGAAATAAGGAAAAAGGCTTCAACCTAAACATAATAACTTGAAGAAGAAATGGTCTTGTAACAACAGTCTCACTACAACATTGTATGCACTCCATAAGAAAAGTGGCACCTATCTGGCTAATGAGCGGGAAGTGAAACCAAAGGTAATATTCGAGATCATATGAGTTGCACAAAAATTCCGGCAAGCGTGGGAACTAAGATAAGCTAAGTATGCGCGCAACAAGGGGGCAGAAAGACCAGGAAAAGTAATAGCTTACGTTTAAAGAAAGCTGAGAAGGAACGAAAAGAATTATTTGATCAATGATCCAGAGTTAGTTACATTATGAACGCACTTAAGATTTCGGAGTATTATCCATGCAGCATATATGTTGACAATCATACAGCCGTAGAAGACTCCGGTATAAGTAAAAGAAAGAATTGAGTCCAGGTCATAGACAAAGGATAGAATTGTTGGAAGATTGTATCATGGATATTCCATGGCGCCCATGAAAGGCTAAAGTAATAACTAATACCAGGAGCCGCAGATCAGAAGATAACTTAAGCCTACATAAAGGCTGATCAGAAGGAAGAGGAAACTAAAGAATTACATCAACTAAGTAAATTAGGAGTCTTATTATTAGACCCAGAAAATTATAGAAACCGTGATTGAGAACATTGCAGGATCACTCTTAATATCAGAGGTACAAGAGAGATAGTACAACAGCCATATTATATAACGACTCTAAGATAAAGACAGTTAGAAGAGTACCAGCCTCATATGAAGTCAATATGAATCTCCCACCGGATTGTGTATGCGCCAGAGGTGCAAGTATTATAATAGAGCTTCAAGTTGTGGATGTGAATTATACCTATGTGGAAGGGAGGTTATGAAAGAGATAGAAGATGTGATGCGAGAATTTAAGGTAAGTAAGATAAAGGTGAACAACGTACGAGATACTCAAATGCGGAAGGTTGTGAATAGTCCATACTTCAGATAGAGAGATAGAAGCGCGGGGATTCAGTATCCAAGAATGATAGTGGCGTCGTCAGTGGCATATTTTCCAGCCATGGTTTCTAGGTATCGAGAGGTCTAGTTAAGAGAGTAAAGAAAAGTTACAGACGATGTGATGTCTCGCTTGATTTTCCAGAATAACATAAGAAAATCTATGGTGCAAGCAAGTTGAAGGAAGGTTGCGAGTAGTATAAATAGATATGTGTAGGTCGCTAGCTAAAGTAAGGTAGAGCGACAAGGTTTTAGGAAGACATTAGTAAGGATAAGGAAAGGCGAGTGAGAAGGTAATGAGAATGGATAAGTCCTCGGGATTAAGCCCATGAAAACAAGAGAGCTAATGGCTTTTCTAAGTTATAGAAAGCTCGATATAGCCTGAATGAACTCAAAGGAGTCTAAGACTAATAGCATTTAGGAGAGATAGAATACTGCCCCGGTAGTAGAATAAGGGTGTAATTATGATAGATAAAGGATGACGTTTGGGCCTTCGATTGAGTAATGATTTGAAGAAAAAAGAAGAGGATTTCACGAATGGAATGAGATTAGAATACCCCCCCCCCCCATAAGATGAATCACGTTAGGATGCTATGAAATATGGTTATTGAAGTATAGTATCATCCCTACGTGGATCAGGAAAATCACATCAGATGTTCCCCGATGTGACGTGAGCCCTAGTGACAATGTGTTACGTAAGAGATTTCAAGTTATCAGTAGTAGATTGTGAATCAACAATGGATGGATAAAAGTTACAAAGTGAGATTAGGCCATCATTCTTAAGATGAACAATAATGAGGAAGCATTAAAGGACTTAAATTTATACATATAGGATAAGCAACGAGATCAACCTGGAGTTTGGTAGCAGACCTCAGTAACAATAAACCGAAGTAAGAGTTATGGTATAGTATGACCTACGTAGCATAGTAAAGCCATAGACGCCCAGAGGGACAGCTTGTCATAATTCTATATATGTTCAGAAAGTGAAGCCTAGAGATTGGCTAAAAGTTTGAGGAAAAAGAAGAGAAGAGTCGCATAGGCGCACATACAAGAGCAAAGTCGTACAGACTGCATGACAGAAGGTAGCAACAGTTACCAGATTGGAAGAATTCCGACCACAGGCTGTGGTGTGAGAAAGAGGACTAAAGGTGGGAATGCCATGGACTTTGGATTTATTCACAGAACACTTGCCACAATGGCAAGGACAGTATTAAAACCATTCGTAAAAGCTATCCGGTTATGAGACCGATAAGTGTATCAGTCAACATTCGAGGACGAATGTTCCAAAGGGGGGAATGATGTTACACCCCAGAGTATTACGTTGATGTACACTCCGCAGTATTATGACGATGTTACACCCCGTAGTATTGTACGTTGAATTTGTCGTAAGATAATTGACTTCTGTTCAAGGACAAGATCATTTTGAGGTTATTAGTATTATGCTATTTCAAAAGTGATAAGTAAATTCGTGAAGGTGAGAGGGTAAGCAAATCGAAGAAAATGAGTTTCGTCAAAGTTTGACAATTTGGGATAAAATACGGTCCAAGCTATAATACCCCGTGTTTAAGGACTAGTGCCATACAAGGTACCATATGACCTTGATAGTAAGGCGTATAAGGTATGTTAAAAGTGAGTAGTATTTTAAGTAATTTGAAATAATTCTTAATTTTGTGGATAAATGGGTAATTATGGATTTTTAGTGGGAGCTTAACTAAGTAATTAAGATAATTGGATGAGCTTAATAAGCCCCCAATGTGGCAGAAATTAAATGTGGATAAAAGCCCAACGAATGACTCTTACTTCATGAAGCAAGATGACACATTAAGAGAGTTTGGTGGCTTAGTCATCATATATGTGGGGCCCACACCCACTAAGATTTAAAAAATCTCTCTAAATCTTTTAAGGGAGATACATATATCTCTACAATGTAAGGAAGAAGCTTAAACAATTCATACGAGACTACTTAATATTGTAGCAGCGTGAAATTGCGATTCTAAGGGAGTACAGTACAATCTTTCTCAAGAATATCATACGGATTTTTCCCTACTTCGATCCGCGTTACGTGGTTTTAGCAAAAGACATGGGTTAGAGGGATTGTCAAGAGAATCGACTCAAGTATGTTAAGGCTATCCCTTCTTTCCATTTGGCATGATCCATACGATACAGACGAGACGAGCAAATGCACAACTTTCATAAATGACTCTATTCATAGAAGTACTAGAAGTGCTTGTGTTTTTGATTTTTCATGTGTCCTATTATTCTATAATCTGTTCATGGGTCTCAGAAAATACGTAAGTTGATAAAGTTTATTTCACGTTATTAATCAAAGGCATATTGATCTTATGACATACCGAGAAATCTTATTAACTCACTTCTTATGCATTGCATTCAGTTATACATGCACATTGACCCATGACCATATGGCATTGTATACGCGTATATATATACATACATATATATATATATATATATACATACATATATATATATATACATATATATATATATATATATATATATATATATATGGGGTATGAGGAAAGGTTATGGCTTTATATACGTACCACCACCTGATCAGTTGGTATACGTTGATGATTTTGCGCACAATGGCCGAGATGATATGATGGGATGCCCTCAGAGGCTTGATGATATTATGTACGCATATACCTATGCATGGTATGACATTTATACGCATATGCATGACATTATAAATATTAAATGATTCACTAAGCTATTTAGACTTACATGTTGAGTCTTTTACTCTATGTTTCTCTCATGTCTATTATTTACTGATTTTCATTCCTTATATACTCGGTACATTATTTGTACTGCTGTACCTTTTGCCTGGGGACGCTGCGTTTCATGCCTGCAGGTCCTAATAGACAGGTTGAGAGTCCTCCAAGTAGGCTATTAGCTCAGCGGAAGGTGTTGGTGACTCCATTGACTCCAGAGTTGCTTATTTGGTCAGTATGGTTTGGACATGTATTGATTGGTATGGCGGGGCCCTGTCCTGACCTTTATGGTATTTAACTACTCTTAGAGGCTTATAGATATATGTCATGTATATAAAATATTGTATGGCCTTATCGGCCTATGTTCAGTGTACGAGTGATCATTTTGGTCTTATAGGCCCGTACGTCATATGTATAAGTCAGCATATCATGTTGGGTCATCCTATGTAGAGTATTCCCTCATGCTTTTTTCTAGTCATCTCATGACAGTCTTTGTGGTTCATTTACCTATGATAATATGATACGGAAGATACGTTACTTTGGTACTCGGTTGAGTATGGCACCGGGTGCCCGTCGCGGCCTATTGGTTTGGGTCGTGACGCAGCCAGCATTAGTAAACTAAAAAATGTTTCCAGGTTTGGCAACTAGTCTGTAAACAGAAATCAGATTAAAATGATATGAGGGAACATATAGGACATTGTGGAGTACCAAACCAGGGGATAAAGTCAAAGAACAGATATTAGTAACTTTAACTTTATATCCATTGGGAAGTGATACAAGATAAGGAATAGGAAGAGTTTGAATATTGAAAAGAAGGGATTTATCAGAGGTCATGTAATCAGAAGCTCCAGAATCTATAATCTATACAATATACTCTATTTTAGTAAGCTAACAAGTTCTGAACAAACCACTTTTAGGTATTAACTCACCAGGAAAATTGATTGAAGCAAAGAGATTAGGAGTGGAGCTGGAACTAGACAGGTGAGACTGTTGCAACAACACTATCAATTGGGAATAAGCTCTTTAGTCAAACTAGGCACCGCAGACAATTGTTTAGATTGAGATTGAGGGTGGTCATCAGATCCCCCGGGAGTACCAAGAAGACCAGATTTATCCACTTCAGCATTAGAAGCCATTTTTCTTAGACTAGTACCCTTGGAGAATTTGAAGTTTGGAGGAAAACCAAGAGATTTATAGCACTTTTCAGTAGTATGGCCTTGCTTTTTACAGTATTTGCAGGTAACACAAGATTTAGGAGAGTCGAAACTGAGTTTTGAATGGAAATTCTGCTTGGAGAAACCAACATTAAAGGAAGTAGAACTTGAAGAAAAATGAGAGGCAGATGAAACTTGTCTTTGCTTTTCATCACTTAGCAAGATACTGTAGACAATGTTCATGGAAGGAAGAATCTTTAGCATAATGGTGTTACTCCTGACTTGAAGATAGGTCTCATTGAGTCCCATCAGGAATTGATACACCTTTTGCTCCTCTTCAACCTTTTTGTTTTCCCCGCAGGTACAAACAGTCAGATAATTGACAGAGATAGACGTTATTTCATCCCGTAGTTGTTTGATTTTATTATAGTAAGAGGCAATATCTAAGGATCCTGGGGGAATGTGTGCTAGATCTTTCTTCAATTCAAATATCCTAGCACCATCCGTTTTGCCATACCTCTCTTCTAACTCATTCCAAATATCTTTGGCAAGTACTAAATATTCAACACTACGAGAGATTTCCTTAGTGAGTGAATTGGTTAGCCAGGATACCACCAAGTCATAATAACGTTGCCACTGTCTGGAAAAAGGAGAACCATCAGGAGGTCTCTCAGTGGTGCCATTTATAAAATCTAGTTTATTACGCACTAACAAGGCTACCGGAATATTCCTTCGCCAACTACCATAACAAGTGTTGTCAAAAGGAGCAGAAACTAGAGAAGCTCCTAAGACATCAGAGGAATGGACTTAGAGAGGGTGACAGGGATGAGTAAAATCATCAGGATGAAAACCAACGTGTCGAGTAGAGGGGAACAGAGGAAGACTCAGAAATGCCTTTGTTGGCAACAGGAGTAACAGTACCAATCGCCATTTCAGTCAAACTCTATCAACTAGCTAGACATGCAAACAATATTATAGAATCTGACAATCAAACAGAGATGAATAAGGATGAAAAAATGTTACCAATTCTTTCTCAACTAGAAAGAGACGGCCTTGAAATAAAATGCAGCAAATACCGAGTGATTGACTAGCGATGAGAAGTCAAAACCCTAGAAACAGATGAGAATCCAACTCAGAGACCTTATTCTCCCAATTGCCTCTAAGAATCATAAAACAAAACTAGATAGTAGCGGAAAGATGAAATCTTTTCAAGTAGACAGTCAATCGAAACCCTAAAAATTGGAGAAGAACTCTGATAGTATAACTCAAACAAAATTCTGGCTAGAAACTACACGAGTAACATCGGACGATAGCCGGACACAAGCTCTACTATAATCCATGCTCTAATACCATGTTATAAACTAGAATCGATGTGAATTTGGGAAGAAACAAGTTAGGGTCCGAACACTCATAGAGAGAGAAAGCGAAGAGATTCTTATTTCATTATGTGTAGAAAATGTAATCCAACTATACAAATAACTGTGGGCCTTTATTTATGTGACCCAATCGACCTACCCTACTCAGTCCACTAAAACTTAGTTGTTATAAGTAAAATATGGGCCAAGCCCAAATACTCTAACCCAAATAAAATAATTAACTGGACTAGCATCCCATTTAGGATATAAACTTCTAATAGCCTCATTTTATTTTTATACCCGATTTAAACAATTACCATCCCTACTTTAATTTTTTTATTCGATTCCTATTTCCCCAAAAAAAAAACCTAGCGCTCACCCCACCCTCCTCCTGGCTCGCATCGCCTCCCTCGTTCTTCAAAAAAATGATGGGTTCTCTTCTTTATTTTATTCTTTGTCTTTCGCCTCTCTTTCCCTTCCTCCCATTCACCCATTTCTTCGCTTATTTTTTCTCGGCCTCAAACCCAATTGCTCTTCTCTTTCTCTATCTACTATCAATAGGTTTTCTAGGTGGTGTAACAGGATTTTTTTTTCTTTTTTCTCGGTGGTGACTGCTGAAAATATGCGTTACTCCTATTTATGAATTGTTACAGTAGATGCATTTTTTGGTTGAAATAGTGTCGTGTACAGGTGGAGGCTCTGCATCTTATTTTTTTTTGCATATTAAGCGTATAATTTGGGTATAATAAGTAAATTAGTGCATAAAATATATATTGATTATCCACGGCTTATGCAGTAATTATGCATCAATTATACGTTGCATACTAAGTGTATAATGTGTATAAGCTAGTGTAAAATGTATTTAGACTATGGTAGATATTGAAGTCTGAGAGACTCTTTAAATCCAATTATTTCTCGTGGGTTTTCAAATTTCATTGTATATTTGTATATGTGTTCAATTGTGAGAGAGAATTGAGAAGGAAGAAGAGGAAATCAAATTGTATTCTGAAAATTCTGTTTTCTCTCGTTACATACAAGGCTGCATATACAGCTTCTCCACTACTTAGTTGATAGCACATGTACAGCTGTCAATTAACTAACATGACAAACTAACTTTTTTTTCTAACTTGCACACCCCTAGTTTTATTATGTACACTTTGACCCTCATATGCTAAGACTCCCCCTCAAGCTGGAGGGTGGAAAGCATTGAACACGCCAAGCTTGGAAAGAAGGAAGGAATGTTGAGCAACACCAAGTCCCTTCATCATGAGATCAGCCAGCTGAAGTTTGGTCGAAATGTGATGAGGAGCAAGCAGGCCAGTCTTAATTTTTTCTCGAACAAAGTTACAATCTATCTCGATGTGCTTTTTTCGTTCATGAAAAATAGGATTTTCTGTTATTTGAAGTGCAACTTTACTATCACAATAGACATCAACAGGATGATGTATCTCAATACGCAACTCTTGTAGCAATCCAACAAGCCAAGTAACTTCAGTTGTTACTGCAACAAGGCTTCTATATTGAGCTTCAGCTGAGCTACGACTCACTGTCTGCTACTTCTTTGACTTCCATGACAACAAGGAATCCCCAAGCTTAACAGCATATCCACTGATCGACCTTCGTGTGTTTGGGCAAGCTACCCAATCTGAATCACAAAAGGCAGAAAGGTGGGTGATAGGACCCTTCTTGAGGAAAATGCCAAGACCAGGTGACCCGTTAATGTAACTAACCACTCGAAGTGCTGCAGTTAAGTGTGATTGTTTGGGATGATTCATGAATTGGCTAAGAAGTTGCACAGCAAAACAAATATCAGGTCGGGTAATGGTTAGATAGAGTAACTGCCCTACTAGTTTTTGGTAGCTCCCCACATCTTGCAACTCTTCATCACCATTGTGCCCAACATGTTTGTCATACTCTGTAGTGGTCAATTTCTGATTTAACTCAATGGAGTAGATGCGGGTTTAGCAGTAGCCAAGCCTATCGAAGAGATTAACTCCAGTGCATATTTTCGTTGGTTCAACAATATTCCTTGATCTGATCTCATCACCTCAATCCCCAAAAACTTTCTGAGCTCACCCAAATCCTTTACCTTAAAGCTGTTATGCAATGTGTTTTTGGCCTCTTCTACTAAGGAAATATTACTGCCTGTAATCAAGAGATCATCTACATACACCAATATAATCACAATGTCATGTGATGTCTGTTTGGTGAATAAAGAATGATCATATGCACTCTGTTGATACCCTGCTCCCACTAAGGCATCTGTGAGTTTAATATTCCATTGTCTTGAAGCCTGTTTCAGCCCATAGAGTGACTTCAACAATCTGCAGACTTTGTTCTCCCCCCCTGTCGTTTGAAACCTTGTGGCAAAACCATGTAAACTTCTTCATAAAGATCCACTTGGAGGAATGCATTATTGACATCCATCTGATAGAGGATCCATCCCTTTGAGGCTGCTATGCTTAAGACAGTTCTCACAGTTACCATTTTGGCAACTGGTGAAAAAGTCTCATGATAGTCTAGCCCTTCTTGTTGTGTGTATCCTTTAGCTACCAGTCGTGCCTTAAACTTGTCAATCTCACCAGATGACTTATACTTGATCTTAAACACCCATTTAGAACCAATAGGTTTCTTTCCTTCTGGTAAATCAACCACTTCTCAGGTATGGTTTTCTTCAAGTGCTCTAATTTCTTGATCCATGGTTTCTATCCACCTTGGATCATGAGCAGCTTCCTTGAAAGATTGAGGTTCAGTTAAAACTGAAAAAACATTGAGGAATGACTGGTAGGCAGGAGATAGATGATCATAGGAGAGAACATCAAAGATAGAGTATATAGTATTTGTATGTGCCTTGGCCTTAGTGATGTAGTCGTTAAGCCATACAGGAGGCCTTCCCTTTCCTTGTTGATTAGATTTCTTAATCTGTCCCTCTATAGATGGTAGCTGTGAGTGTACATCTTCCGATCTTGCCTCTTCTATGCTTGTCTCAACTTCTGGTTCCAAGATGATAGGAAAGGGATTCTCATTTGCTGAAGTATCTGCTGGGATCTCATGCTGCACATCAGACTCTGCATGAACTGTGGCTGGATCTAGATCATCTGAAGATTTATGATTATCACTACATTCTGCATGGTCTGTGACCAAGTTCATATCAGGAGTCTCCACCTCTGTGGTGCCATTTGCATTAACTGGCACTTGTATGCTCTGAGGTGAAGTTGTAATTATAGGAGCTTGTGGTTGATGTCTAGTTTCTTCCACAACTGGAGGTGAAGCAAATAAGTCCTCTGTAGAGTCTGATCAGCATCTTTTTCAAAAGGAAAACTCTGCTCCTTAAAGACCACATCTCTGCTAACAAAAATGCTTCTATTCTCTAAATCATACAACCTATTACCCTTTTGTTTTTATCGAGTATCCAATGAGAACAGCCTTCTTAGCTCTAACTGTAAACTTATCACCCTTAGGTAAGTTACTTGCATAACATAAGCAACCAAACACCCTTAGGTGATCTATTTTAGCTGGCTTTCTAAACAATAACTCATAAGGAGATTTTCCTTGCAAGACACTAGTAGGCAGCTTATTTATCAAATACACTGCTGGTTTTACACAGTCACCCCAAAATCTCTTAGGAATTGAGCTTTGAAATTTCAAGGCTCTTGCAACCTCCAGTATATGCCTATGCTTTCGTTCAACCACCCCATTTTGTTGTGGGGTGTATGGACAACTACTTTGGTGTATAATTCCCAGAGAAGAAAATAAAGTATTGCATTGAGAGTTGAAAAACTCTGTACCATTATCTGACCTAACAATCTTCACAGTAGCTTCAAATTGAGTCTTTATCATTGCAAGAAAGTTTTTAATCACAGTAACTACTTCACATTTAGACTGTATTAGGCACACCCAAGTAAACCTGCTGTAATCATCTACTATTGTGACAAAATAAAGCTTTCTGTCATATGTAGGTACCTTATGAGGTCCCCAAACATCCATGTGTACGAGTTGAAAACAACTACTTGATCTAGTGCTACTAGTTGGAAATTGTAATCAACATTGTCTTGCTAAGGGAGATACTTCACAGTTGTTTTCTCTTCCTGTCTGTATCTTATTCTTCAGTTCTAAAATATCCTGCATTGCCTTGGTTGATGCATGACCAAGCCTCAGATGCCATAGTGTTGTTTGTCCATGTTCCTTCAAGAAACTAATTGCTGCCGTTGGCAAATTTTCTCTTATTAGGTACAACCCAATATTTTCTCTACCAATCCTCATCACCTTGCCATTGTAGAGACGCTGAAATATACAAAAATCAGGATAAAATCCAACTGAGCAACACAATTGCCTAGTGAGCTTAGACACTGACAGTAGGTTGAATTTGAAGTTTGGCACATACATTACTCCCTCACTAGTTTTATTCCCTAAAACTACTACATCTCCTGTATGTGTAATTTCTACTCTACTGCCTGTAGGCAACTGTACTCCATCTGCTCTATGATCTGCCTTTCTAAGGTTATTTAAGGCATTCTTATAATGTGTCACATGCTGAGTAGCACCTGAATCCACTATCCAAACTTGATCACTAACACCTGCATTTGACATTAAAGTAAAGATACCTGCAGTATTAGTGGAACACTCATCTGTGGTAGTCTTCTGCAACAAATTTACCAGCTGTTTGTATTGCTCCTCAGTGAAGAAATTTCCTTGTGTGGGGAGCATTGGCACCTGCTTCTCTTTACTAGTTGCACTGTTCACGTAAGTTTTGCCTCCTGAGTTTTGCCCTTTCTTTTTGCTTTTGAAATCTGGTGGATATCCCACTATCTTGTAGCAGTATTCCTTTAGATGTCATTTATAACCACAGTGATCACAGATTAATCCTATCCTTTTAGGCTTAAACTCATAACCTTTACCAGCCAGCATTGTAAGAGGATCTTTCACTGTAATTACAGGCCTTTTTGCCAAGACATTACTTCGAATGTTACCATAGCTCTCGTTCAATCCCATGAGAAACTGCAATAAATGAATGTTTTTTAGAAGTTCCGCTGAAGGCCTAGACTCCTCACAATCACATGAAGCCAAAGGTGCTATGACATCCAGTTCATCCCATAGGTCCTTCATCTTCGAATAATAGCTAGTGACCGAGTCTGTTCCTTGTCTCAAGGTCGCAATAGCAGTCCAAAGATGATATATCCTTGTTAAATTTGACCTATCAAACCTTTCCTGGAAGCCAGCTCATACCTTCTTTGCATTTGATGCATAGACAATACTAGGCATCAACTCATTTGAAACAGTGCTACCAATCCACGATAGGATAATTGCATTACATTTTTTCCATTGCTATGCTAATGCACCTTTTTACATACCTTTTACACACGATCCATCCACAAATCCAAGCTTGCTTTTTTCGCGGAGTGCCAATTTCATCGCCCTGCTCCACAGTGCGTAATTTTCTAGGCTTGTGAGCTTGAGTGAAATTAAGACTAATCCAGGAGCATCTGAAGCTTGCAAAAACAACAGATGATTGTGATCGAGTGAGCTAACTTCATTTTCTGCCATGGCCTCTTCGAAAAATTAAGCTCAGAATTTTAGTATTCCTTTGCTCTGTATTGCACTTCTGTGTTCCTGCCGTAAAGTTGAATCTCGCCGGAACTGGATCGGAGCTAGAGTCCCATTAAAGCCCGCTCTGATACTGTTCAATTGTGAGAGAGAATTGAGAAGGAAGAAGAGGAAATCAAATTGTATTCTGAAAATTCTGTTTTCTCTCGTTACATACAAGGTTGTATATACAGCTTCTCCACTACTTAGTTGGCAGCACATGTAGAGCTGTCAATTAACTAACATAACAAATTAACTCTTTTTTTTTCTAACTTGCACACCCCTAATTTTATTATGTACACTTTGACCCTCGTATGCTAAGAATATGTCATTTTACCCATTTCACCAATGGCAAAGTGATATTTGAAGAACCAAAATCTTTTGGGCTCTGGCTTCAATGGTAGAACGAAGAAAAAGCTAGAAACACTTATTTTGTGCGAAAGCCTTTTGGAGTGGAGGTAGTTTCCGAAGAATTCTTAAATGATAGAGAAAGAAAGAAGCATGCCGGAGAATTTTGGGTAAAGATTGAATTTAAGGTTAAATCAGTAACTATTAGAGATAATAGCTTTGTGGCATTGGCAAGAGTTTTGATTTTGAAATTTGATTGGTTAAGATTTTTTTTAATTTGGATTTGCTAACGATAGTTAGAAATATTTACGACTATTTATAGTGAATCAAAATTTATGGCTAGACGGGTGTAACCAAAAGTATTTGGGCGGCTAATTGTGTTTTTTTCCCGTAAAAACACTAATCAGACTATTAATTAAACTAGAATATGTACTAAGCTCAGCACAAGAATCGCTTGCTTTTTGTTAAGATCCATTTATCTTCTTCATTTCTCAACTATTCAAATTCAAAAAAAGTACCGAAAATGGCATATATTTTTATTCACCCGTCTTCCTACTTCGAAACTATTATGCGAAATCTGGAATTTCTCATATATAGTCTAGTCGCATCTATTAGGAGGAATATTTTCAAGGTAATATTTATTCATAGAATTGGCTGGGGAAATATAAAAAAGAAAAAAGAATTAAAAAGAGAGAAACAAATAGTAAAGGAACTAGAAACAAAAAAGAAGTAAATGAAAGGGAGAATCACAAAGCGTAAGGGTGTTCAAATAAACTGCAACACCAAATCAAACTGACAAGTCGAATCACTTTTAATGAACCACGAACCGATCAAATATGATTTTGTTTGGTATTAAATTTTTAAAAATTGATTTGAGTTTAGTTTTAAACTAAAAGAAAGTCAAAATACACCGGATCAAGCCGGCTAATACACCATATTATAGAGTTAAATTATATGTATATTTATTATAAATATTTTTTTTAAATTTCTTTTTTCATATTTTTTGTTGCTGCTATGTCGGTTGGAGACCTCAATTGATAAGAACCCCTTCTAAATAGTGAAAACTAAACCTTTTTTTTTTTTTTTTTTTTTTTTTTTTTTTTTGTTTTGGTTCAAGTTACTTCTTAATGCATGTCCTCTATATTGACTATGTCCATGGCAGATCATCACGTCTAACATTAGTACATTTTTTTAAATTTATTTCTGATGTAAATAAAGAGTGTAGCACTTTCATTCCTCTACATTTCTCAACAAACTTTTCCTACTACTTTATAGAGACCCATCAGATGACCCAAAAAGGGGGATTAATGCCAACTTAGTATATCTAAAATATTGTATGTTTCACAATATGAATATTTTGTGGAACGATGACGAAAATAATGAGTAATTCCAAATTATGATATCTTTTTCTTGTTTTTTGTGTTGTTAGTTCTCAATTATATCTACAAAAAACGAAAGTAACTACAAAAATCAAGTCAAATCAACAAAATAAGAAAACTGAAATTGGTAATGGTTTGGCATAAATATTCAAAAATTGACATAGTTGGTATGTTTTTCTTTCGAGCAACTCGAGTTAAACTGCACCACGAACACCCTTAATGACTTGATCAGGTGATCTAATGAGATGTACAGTCAGACCTATTTATAACTGCATCCATATATGTTTACCTTGAAAAACGTAAATAACAATTAAAAATAATTTATGATTTTAAAGATACATAATATATTCCAATACTAGTGATTATATGAGTAATATAGAGGTTAAGTAATAAAGAACCAAATTGATGTTGTTGGAACCGTAGGGGGCCTCGAGTTCGATTATCCAGGGACCTCGAGATCAGCTAAGAGTAATAAAGTATGAACAATAAAGTAAAGGCAACAAAGCTGAAAAGTAATTGTTGAGCACGTTAAACAAGAGAAGAATAAGAATGTTCTATTGCAGTGAATGATCTAATGCCCTTACAAAGTGATTGGGCCCCCCTTTATATAGGAGGAGAAAACACCACTATAGTACCTTACTCATAAAGGTAAAGAATTCTATTGGTACATGTGTATAACGGCCTAGTACGGATCTGTACCATTTCGTACAACCCTTATCCTATAATTAATGCCCAGGTCCACGTGTCCTTGAGAAGTTCCTGCTCTTTCTTGATTGACTTCGAGACAATGCTTCCATCGATGCAGTGCATGCCAGACACGATCAAGTTCCTCGAGGTAGGTGTTCCTTAGCCGAATACGACACCCACTTTGAGTCTCTCGGACTCGGGCCTATAGCCCGATTTAAGCCTTCAAAATCATACTCCTCGATTTTGACCGTATAGAGATAGTCCCCACATTTCTTAGAATAGAATGATATGAAAAGACTTTGACCTCGATTTTCTCGAGCCTCTTGCGATGACATCATGCTCGTGATGTAGGCGTTTGAAGTGATCAAAACGTCCCGTCGGTTCATTCCCCCAGAAGCATTTAATGCACCGCCGGTCCGTTTCCCCAAAAAACATTGAATGCGCCGTTAGTTTCGTCGTCATTTCTCCATAAATAAGGGATTACTTGAACAAAAACTACACTCATTCTTTCTTCAACAACTTTTAGCCCTTGCCCTTCTCTATATCCTCTTCTAATCTCCTATTTTTATGGTTCAAACCTGTGATCACAAGGTCATATGGTAGCAACTTTGTCAGTTATGCCATGGCTCTTTTTCAAAGCTTTTCCCCACTAAGTGGGATTATACTGAGTTGTTGTTGTTGTTGTTGGCTCGAAACAACGAGAGAAGGGCACCAAATTCTTCCCATATCAGAAGATATGTGGACTTTACATCGCTGCTCATCTCTCTTAACTTCAACCTGGTGTGCCGCTTTATTCCTTTTACTTTCCATGGAGTGAGGTGACATTACTTGCTAACTTTTGCATCCCACACCGGTACAATGTCTCAAGAAGTGACTTCATAATAGTAGTGCTGACGAGACCCATACTCGCCAAGTTTTTCACCAGGCCACAATTTTCTTCGCTTGTTAAAAGCTTTTGCTCTTTGATAGGCTATAACCTTTTCTTCATCT